TATTCCAAATGTTGCCTAACCAGTGACCTTTACAATCAAATTATAACCTCTTTAGACTTGTATTTAATATTACTCTAGATACAACTTAAAATCTTATTTTTCCTACTACTAGCAACAGCACACTGCTTGGATGGTTTTAGAGATTTATCAATTATTGCACCAAGATTCCTTTCCTTCATAACACTATGAAGGTTATTCCCAACCAAATTATACTTATAATTCAAATTTTTGCTGATATTTTCTTATTGTGGGTTCATATCCCTTAACATTTAATAGAATACCCAAGCCTCTTAAATAAAATACACATTATTTAACTGATGTTGCAGTGTTGAAAATGTTTGCCAAGAGAACCTAAAGGTTTATAGAAACTCCTGAAAAAATTTCAGCCTCTCTCGAGCAACTAAAAAGAAATCCTATATTTATGGATGTTATACTGTGATGGTCAGTATTATTCATTGCTAAAAGTTGGAGGTGAGTGCTGCTGGCTGGTTGTCTTCCTCTCTAGTCAACAGTTCAAAATTAAGAAGTTGTAACAGTTAGTTTTAGTGGCTTTTCTATAACTCACACATGACACAATTGCCTGTGCCAGTTCCATTGGCATGATTACACATGACAGAATGACACAACTCACAAATGCAAATGTGAAGGTATTGCCTAGTGGTTATTGGTTACATTATTATCTACATTGTTGCCTGTTGTTCTTGTTTACTTTGTTTAGAACAAACAATAATGTAGCTTTAAAATATTTGCCAACTTAACATACTACAAATGTGATCAGTTTTGCTAAGAGAAAGATTGCTTCAATAAAAAATTACTGTAAGTTAATATTTTCTATTTGCTCAGAAAATGTTGATTGATAAATGGCTTGTGCATTTAACTATGTTTGTCAGAAACTGCTAGATATGGGTTAATAACAGTGTATAACACTGTTATTAACTTATTTACATGAACAGGACTTCTGTTTAATTACTACTAACTAGCTTAATAGTGACAAACTTAAAGGGAAAAACAAAAGTTTGTCTTGTTATCATGTTCCACTAAAACACTGCCTAGTATAACTTCTTGCTTAAAAGCTTCTAATGTTTTCATCTTTATGTAGTTTTAATTTTTTTAATTTTCACACTGATGATGGAATTAGAAAAAACATCCAAAATATTTGTAAGGATTTTTTATATCACTGTGATTTTATTATTTCTTATAATGCTTTGATTTCCACCTTATGAATCCATTTAATTTCTGCAAAGAGGTCATCTAGTATCATTACAAGTTTCTTTACCATAAGAAACGTAATGAATTTGTTTTTTAATGATCGGGTTGAATTTATTTTTTCTGAATTATATGTTAACTATCACACACAGTGACAGGAATCTTGATTCTAAACTGTTATACCTGAAGATGTCTCAAATGAAGACTGGTTCAAAAATATCTTTAAAAACCTGACACAAGTTGAATGTAAGAAATTACTCTCATGTGAGAATAACTGAGTAGTTCAATGCATTCAGTTAATGAGTAATGATTAATCAATTAGTAAATTCAACTAATTTCTCATCTCTACACATCATGCCATTGTGCAAAGCATACCAAGGATTTATAATACATTAGGAAGATAGTTTTTGTAAATAAAATCTACATCTGGGCTTCTGAAGCTTAAACCTATTACATCTTTTACAGAAATTTTAAATTATAAATAGGATTAACAGTAAAAGTGATAGGAATAGGGGACATAGATTTGGAAGAGTGGTTTGCTTGTTTCTGAATTTCACGCATAGCTACTCGAGAGCTACCTGCATTAGCTATTCCTAATTTTGATATGACAGACTAGAGGGAAGGCAGCTAGTCATACCACCTACCACCAATTCTTGGATTACTGTTTTACCAATGAAAAGTGAGATTGATTGTCACATTATATTGCCCCCATGTATGAAATGGCTAGCATGTTTAGTGACTGAAGTTGAACATGTGACTTGCAGAGGTAAGAGTAGAGACATGGGTTTGGCATTGTAGAACTAGAATTCACCCGAAAATTGGACAATCTTATTTTACAAACAGTTTGGTCAGCCTTTGCAATGAATTACCTTCAGATGTGGTAAGCATAGTAGGATTGGGAGTGTTCAAGAGAGGACTTGACATGTACTTGTGAATCAGGGTTGGATAATGGTATTTTGTTGTTTGCTGAAATGAATGGAACAGCTGCAAGGGGCCATTTGTCCCTCAAATGTTTTCTTACTTTAGTGGACCATCTTTAGAAAGCTTGTACAAACCCTTAAAAATTTTAAACACTTGAATAAATAAGATCTAGTTTCTATATCCTCCAAGAAGAAACTGTTGTCTCTACAGTGTCTCATCAGCATCATATCATCACTCATATGCAAGGATACATTACTCTTGCTCTTAAGTTGAAAATTACTGAACGGAGAACCAAGAACTATTTGTTGTTGTTTTTTTTTTCACCACAGCAAAAGCTCAGCACAAAGTTTGAAGTTTTTTTGAACAATCACACCCATGTCTTGTAGAATTATTTAAACATATCTTTGGAACTAATTGATTTAAAATAGCTTGTTGAAGATCAATTCTTTCACCAGCAAAAAATGTTCAGTTCTTAAAGTGAAATTACAAGAAAAGCTTTATTAATAAACTTATCATATTGGTATGCCTTGTAAAATGTGAGGTATTTATTTTTATATTTAAACACTTTAAATCAACATAACTAATGTCTGTCATACCCCAGCTGTCCTGATGAGACTTGATATTGGCAAAAGGCCTCATCAGCAGTTATAATAATGTTGACACATTACTACATATTCTCTTTCACTCATATGTTCTTAGAATTGGTATATAAAAACTAATTATGTATATTTTGTTCACTCTTATGCTAGGTACTAGTACCATGGTTGAACCAGTGACCTTGGGCTCACCTCCAAATAACCCATCTCCAGGGCAGTCGAAGTCAGTATTTACCTGCATATTTGATTGGTGATCAGTGTGGAAATATTAGCCAAGTAATAAATTTAATTTTCATTGTCTTCATAAAATAAGAGTTTCAAGAAGTTGAATTAAAAGCATTTTTTTCTCTATATATTTGTGAAGTGATTTGTGATTAAAGTGTAGATTATTTTACTTTTTACAAATGTGCTTCTTTAACAGCAGCCCTAAAATATAATGTAATAACATTATAATATAGTACTACATCACAAAAAACTTACAATAGTTTTAACAAATCAGTTTTTGCTATTCTTATATGGAGCTTTCTGGTGGCTCAGCAGGAAATCTAAAGGACTTATAACAAAAAAATCTGATTTTAATACTTGCAATAGGCACAGTGCAGATAACTTATTTTTGTGACTTTGTACTTGACAACAAATCTATATGGTTTCCCAGTATGAAGGATATAACAGCATTTCAAACACATCAGAGATCATCAGGTAAACTGAGCATGAAAAGATAAAGTTTTGATCAAAATGCTATTTGTAAGATTCATTTATGGAATCTCAATTCATATGGTATATAACACCTATGTTAGAGAAGTATAATCTATAGATCAGTAGTTTGTGTGGTAATACATTAGAATAAGATTGATAATAGTTTTAACAAATCTCTCTTTACTAATCCCATACAGTTTTCCAGTATGAAGAATACAATAGCATTTTAATTGTATATTGTGTGCTATGCTCTGCTGCAAATGAGGCCTTTCACTTAATTCTGAAGCTAATTAGGCTGGCTGGGCACACAGCATACAAAGCTTCAGTTGAAATCAGGCACTACAATAGAATGTTCCAAAACTATTTTAATTTAGCTATCTTTCTAATCAAACTATACATACATACACATGTATATTGGATACAAATAATCCAATAACAATATCAGAGAGAATTATTGGCATTTTATGAAAGACAGAATGCTATGGGAGAAGCATGTCATGTCGGGTTGACATTTGTTTTATATCTCGGTAAAACAATAATATTGGAGATTTTAAGTTTATATCCTGGCTTGTATATAACTATTGTACGAGTTTGTGATTAGTTGAACACTAAAACCAATGAAAGAGTAGAAAGAAAATCAGTGAGTTATTTGTAGTGCAAGGGCATTATGCGACACAGGCAAGTGAAGGTTGAGAATTTATTTATATATTTTCTTTTGAAGCTAAGAAATTAAAACTTAGCTGATGTAAAAAGTTGAATTATAAACTACATCTTGATACAGTAACAATAAAGTACTTTAATTACATTTTGAATGTAACTGTAAAAGGTTATGACATGTACACTTTCACCAACCTTTTAGCATAGGGTAAAGATTATTAGTCTTATTGTGATGTAAATATCACACAAACTACTGATCTATACATCACAATTTGCCTGTGTAAATGTTATAATTTATTGTTAAATTCTTAGGGTGGATGAAGAACAACTGTTACAAAAAGCCATTACAGATGTTTGTCAAAAGATTGTTTATATCTACCCCCTTTCTCTAAGGTATTTTTATGAATGTTTTTTTAAACTTTGCACACACACATATATGATTCATGCTATTGTCATGTTGAATACAATGTAGTTTCACTATGTCAGTTCTTTACAAAGTCATGCCACCTGCATTTATATTAGTCTTTTGTACTTAGCTAAAGTATATTTTCATAACAGAACTCATTGTACAAACAATTGTGAACAATATAGTTCAAGTGAATATGGTACAAGTGAATATCTCTTAACTCTCTCAATACAGGCTTGGTCAATTTGACCACACGACTTCTTTGTATTCATTAAAGTCTATAGATGTAATACTTCTAGCTTTAAATATAGTGTGTATATCTTCACAAAATTTGGCAGTCTTTCAATTAATATTATAAGTCTTCCACATACAAAAAAATATCATTTTTAGAGAAGTATTTTTAATAAAATAAAATAAAGATTTGTCCATGAATATATTGAGTATTTGTTTTGAATTGTCCATGTGCAAAGTAATTTTCATGTAAAAATTAAAATTACTTTTCCTCATCTCAAAAATCTCAACTTTTCTTTGTATAATCCCTAAAACCTCCTAAATGCATTTCAAACGTTTTTTTCAGTAACACTTTATAGTTTATCTGTTATTTTCTTTACCCTATCTCAAAACGTAATTTGTTAATTTGACGACCTCGTAACCACCAAAAAAT